CTTCCATGAAGGACAATGACATAGCAGGCTAACAAGAGCATATGTTTTGACATGTTCAAATGCATGATTTTAAAAATACAGATAATGAACTCCACTCAAAATTAAGTACACTTGTAAAAAAGTTTCAAACTAACATTTTTCTAAATGACAATAATCAAAGCAAAATAATAATAATAATTTCAAGCCAATAGAGCTGACAAAAGAATTAAGTGATTCCTACACAAAGGCAGCTGCTCTTTGATCTTCAGGGACACAAAACGAATATCTACGCTCCTGAAGGCAGCCATGTTAGACATTTATGCTGTAGTTGAGAAAGCATAATACTATTTGAGCCAACCACTTCTGAAGGCTTTTGTTTCTTGTTTTTTGAGACAGGGTTCTCTATGTAGCCCTGGCTGTCTTGGAACTCACAGAGATCCACCTGCCCCTGCCTCCTGAGTGCTGGGATTAAAGGCATGGGCTGCCATCACCACCTGGCTTCCTTTTGAAGCTTTAAGGGAACATTTTTATAAAAGGCTGAGGGAAGGGAGTTACAAGTTCAAGGTGTGCCTGAACTACTGAGTAAATTCAAGGCCAGTTCTAGTAACTCACTGGGATTTGCCTGAGCTATAGAGAAGTTCAAGGCCAGCCCTAACAACTCAGTAAGGCCCTGTCTCAAAACCAGGAAAGAAACAGGAGAATATAGCTCAATTGGGAGTAGAGTATTTGGCCTAGCACAAAGAAAGCCCATGTTTGCAAACCAACACTACTTCAAACAGCTTGCAAACCTAGTACTTGGAAGGTGGAGGCAAGAGGATCAGAAGTTCAAGGCGACCCTTAACTATATAGCATTTTCTAGGCCAGCCTGGAATGCGTGAGATTCTTTTTCCAAAAGGGGTTGGGGCTACAGTTCAGTGGTAGAGAGAGTGCTTGCCTAGCACATGTGAGGCCCTACATTCAATGTGAGGCCCGGGGAATCTAAAAAAAGACCAAATTGATGGGCTCAGCAATAACAAAATCTAAAAACAGTGGTTTGAGATCTTTTTTTATTATATAAGTATATTATTAAAATGTCAAAAGAAAGAAGGCTGTATTAGTAAGAAAGTCAGCTAAAATGTATTTTAATTTTATATATAGTTTGACATTTGGGGGAAATACACAATAGTAATATAAGCTCTTCTCACATATGCTGAGCACAGGCACACCACACAATCACAGACCATAAAGCTGTAATTTATGATGACTTTGTTCTTTGTCCTTTTAATTCAAAGTCATCTAAGTTTAGACAAAGCTTGACATTCTAGATACCCGTATTAAAATACGTTTTCTGTAAATCATGAAAATAACCTTCCAGTTATTATTTTATATATAAGCACTTTTGAAACTGGTTCCATATTCCAGCAGCCATTCATTCCACCTGCATCTTCCAGCACGCTCATTCACATTCTCCAAATTTCTCTGAAAATAGAAAACTTGAATAATGAAGGCAAATGAAGTTCTGTGTTATGAAACAATGAAGAATTGTGATCTGTGAAAACCAAGATTTCAGTATCTCTATCACATTCTGTTTCCGTGAGCCCTGAGAACCCAGAACTTGTGCTTGATTATATCTAGAGAGTTATACACTTTGCCTACATCATAGCTTCTAAATTCCTAACTCGACTTCTGTGAAGCCCCATGCCAAGTGGATTATTTAGAAGAGCAAATCAAACAGATAAAATAATATGGACAAAAAGAACTCTTGGCACTTAATTTAGCAAATAAAGTTGTTAACACTGTTGGCCCTTAGAAAGTCATTAAAAAAATTCATCATCCCTTTTATTAAGTCAAAGCTTCTTGGTAACTATTTGCCATCAAGTACCCTTCTCTACTAGTACAGGAGCAAGTTTATGTAAGAAATAAAAATCGCCCCCAGCCCAGAGAGATGATAAGCTTAACTACCCCCAACTTTTCCATTATCTACCACAAGCCAACAGTCTCCAACAGCAATTACTTCTTAGGATGGGAAGTGAAAAAGACCAAATAAATACCCTTGCACTGGCGGAGTAAAGGGGTCAGGCAGATGCCCGCTGCCAGAAACCGTTTCTGTGCCATGTGGGGAGCCCTGGTCTGGCTGAACCAGGAAAGACACCCAGGCAAGCCCCTGGGCGGCTCAAGCTCTGTATTCAGAGAAGCCTGCCATCAGTGGTGGTGAGAAGAGTCCTCAGCGCTGCATCTCCTCCCCATTTCCCTACAACAGGTCTGTCATCTTCACCCCAGGTTAGACTCCATTTTCCCAGCCTCTTAACAAGCGTTCCTTAAAAAAAAAAAAAAAAAAAAAAAAAAAATCCCTTAAGTGACACAACTAAGGGCAGGGCTGCCAACCCAGGGACAGGGCGGCACCCAAAACAAAGTGCTCCGTCAGCTTATTCAACCCTCCCGCCACAGCACACCACTGTTTCCATCACCAGGTTTTCAGGAGAATGGGAATTCTAAGGCTAATTTAACCAACCAGGCTTCACATTTAGAAAAGTAGAGACACGTGACTGATCCGATCCATTAATTTAAAAGCCAGAATGGAAAAACGAGTGAGGACAGAACTAGGCACTAAGGACAGTTAAGAACAAAGCCACCGACTTTAGTACTTAATTAAAACAAACAACATTAAAAAATAAAAATAATCAACTAAGTAGAGGGTTGACAGTGAAGTAATTTTAGATCTGGAAAGATACTGACATGTAAACAGAGGTGAGCTGACCACTCTAAACGCCCTGCAAAACTGAACTTCCCTGTGGAAACACCAGGCAGAAGCCAAGGCCACACAAACACAAGAAAACAAACTCCCTTCTAGGGCTTCAGGGGACATGCAGACCAGTGGACACTGGGGCTTCTCTGTCCCTCCAGTTATCCTGGGCAACACCTTCTCTTGTCTTCCACTCCCGACAGAGTGTGGTGTAATATCACTGTTCAACTGCGCGGTTTGCCTGTGGTCTCCCAAAGGGACTCCCCACCCACTCTACTGCAGCCTTTCCTATCCCCAGGTCTGTTTTGTTGTTGGCTGGGGCCTAAGCTCCTCTTCTTACACCCCGACCTACCTTCTTCCCACTCCGTTCCTTCCTATGCCCTTTCCTTAGAACCCACAACCTTATCGCTCCATCTTGCAGGGCTGAATTTCTCTCCACTGTCAGCCTTGGCCCCCGTGCTTGCCTGTACATCTGGCTTTCCCCAGATGGGCCTCCCACTCCATGCTGGTGCTGGCCTCTTTCTTGCCTGTGAACCTGTCTGGAGAGCAGCTCCTGGCACATTCAGTTTGAAATTTCTTTCTGGGTCTTTACTGGTGGCTGTATTACTGGCCTCCTGGCCACGTCTGAGGTCCTCTGCCAGGGCATTGCGAAGGTGTATTTCTCTCTGTGCTCGCACTCTTCCCTGTTGCCCTCTCTCCATCCCCCACAAAACCTGTGACTACTTTTCACCATATGCTTCTCTGTGCATAACATGTGTCCAACCAATTCTTTGGGAGCCTCCTGAGAGTATGCTCTGAATTTCCCTTTTCTGCTTATAAAATACCCTGTCATGTGAACTCACATGCTCCCAAAATGTACACAACTGTTTGTGCCCTCCCTCCTCCGTGTATATGCATGTGTGTGGGAGCCTCTGCTGGCCCAGGTTTCTGCCTCTCTGGTGGCTTTGCTTAAGACTATTTTTCTCGGTATGCATTTAAAGTGCCTGGCACTAGTGGGAGCTCAACAGATGTTAATTCTTTTCTCCACTTTTATCTAAGTATGTGAGGTCTAAGTCGGGTGTCCCTCTGCCGAACTGTGCCTGTTTTTTGAGACAAACTGGAATATATTCTTGAGTAGGCACTGAGCTATTTCAGAAAGCCCCGCGGGGTGTAGCTCTTTCTGTCTCTCTGAACAAAATGTCACTGGTCCCACATATGGTATAGCTTTCCCTTCGACAATATATCCACTTTCGTCTCCCTACTCCACGTCCACAATCGGCTTCCTTGTACCCCCAGCTAGTTAAGTGTCTTTTTGGTGCCCCACTCTTTCAGTGTGAAAGTGCTGCTGGGTTTGGACTCCAACTGCGGGTTTTGTGCCTCTGAGCCTCCTCCCGTAGAAGTGGAGCCGGGCGCTCGGAGTATGGCATGAGAGGGGCACGCAGGTTTCTCCCCGGGGCCCGGGAAGAGATCAGAGTCTGTTCAGGATGCCCTGTGTGCCCCCACCGCAACCTTCGGGCTCGCTCCTCGTCTACAGATGGCGAGTCAGCACAGGACGCGGTGCGCCTCTCGGGCACGCCGAGCTTCCGAGAATCCCTTTCCCCAGAACCTGCCGTCCTGTTCCCGGGAACCCTTACGTTTTGGGTCTTTTGGTGTCTCTTCCCGGGATGTGGTGTAGGGTCGCTGCCACGCGGGACGCGGTGCGTCTCCGGGAACCCAACGCAGAGCGCCGGAGTCCCCGGGAGTGCAAGGTGTGCCCCCTCCCCCTCCCCGCAGCGCCCGTGTCCCGGCCTTCCCGAGTACACGGTGTACACTCCCGCCTACACGCGGGGTGCCAGTGTCCCCACGTCCCTGAGAGTGCAGGCTGCGTCCTCACCCCCACGGAGCGCCGCTGCCCCTCGCTCTGCGGCGTCACCGCCCCTCGGCGTCCCCCCGACAACTCGGACCGCCGGCCCCCGGTCCGTACCGGTAGCTGCGCGCGCCCCCTCCGTGGGGAGGGCGGTCGCCGCACGTCTCTCCGCGGGACCGAACAAGTCAGGAGCCCCGCGGGCGCCGTCGGAAA